TTCCATTTTTAAAATGCCATTTTTTTAAATGGCAAAAAAACTAATAAACAAATACATAGTTTTAGGTAGTGTGCTATGTGCCATGAAGGAAAATAGAGCTGAGTGAAGAAGAAATGAGGGTGGGCGTTCGTTTACACAGGATGCACAGGGAATTCACTTCACTCTGAAATTGTAGACAGGCTTCAGACAGCCTTGCTGAGTTCTCAATAATTCTAAAGAGTTTCCAAAACAATCTCCTAAACAGAATAAGACCATGAAAGGGTAATTGGCCCCCAAGCCGCCTTCACTCTTAAATCTCCACTAGCCAATGGACAGAACTGCCTTCAAATCAGTGCACTGCCTCGATTCTCCTACCACTGCCTGTTTTCTTAAGTCTTCACCTCCCATCCCACCCTTTCTCATAGCCCCCCTGCCAGCTCCCAATAGGTCTTCTCCACGTCTGTTTATTCCTACCTTCCTACCTTCGTTCATGCAGATCCCCTGCCTAGCAGTGCCTCGTCCTCGGCCAACTCACACCCTCCATCTCCCTTAAGCATTCCTCCTGAGAGGCTTTCCCTGGAAAACCTCCTGCTACTGATCACCGTCTCCCTTAAATGTAAACATGGAAGAGTAACTCTGCAGAGAACTTCAGAGAACCCTATATCCTTAGTTACAGATGGAGCGGAGAGATAGACCTGGGCCAGAGCACTTGTGACTTGGCAAAGGTCACATAACTGGCTATGGCCAGGCAAAAACTAAAACCCAGTTCAGCCTCCTCCAACCAGGCTGTGCTTTAAATCTTTCATGTGTTATATATCTTATAATAGGTTTGTTTTGCCTCCTAACAAAACAAGAATTTGCTTAAAGGGAGAAATTAACTTCGTTTGTTTTTGGATCCCCCAGATACAAAACGTAGGATGGTTCTTTGAGCACAGGGGACAGAGTTCCCATCTGTCCCATCCCATTTGTCTATTACCGCATCTAGAAAAGACCAAGACAAATTGTCATTTGGATTGAAATACAGGCCATACGGCATTCATAAAATTCATGTTGGAGGACCTAGGAGACCATTTCAAAGTAGTAAGCAGCCCCTGCACAGCACCTGAGGAACTGCCTCCACAAGGGGAAAAACTCAGACAAAGGAAAGTTTCTTACAAGAGCCTGCAATCCAGAGTCACAAAGGCAGATGCAAGCAATGACTTGTGATTGGGTGATTGGGCTGCCACTCACATGGGCAGCTTCAGGCTGAGTGCTGGTGGGGGTGGGGGGGTAGGGTGCGCAGTAGGAGGCTTGTTTAACTTAACCGGGTGAATGAATCTCCCAAACCACCCCAGACCTACAAACTGGTTAGGTTAAGATAACACATCCTTATAATTCTGTCATGCATTACAATGTATAAAGCACTAAATCCTCACTGAATAGATACAGTGTAAGCATCATACACCATAGTTCTTTTCTTCCCTCAGTGCAAAAATCCTTAAAGAGGATCACTTTGATGACTAACGTTCGGTAACACTTTTTACTACAGAGGCCCCAAGACAATGACTAATGATAAGTCCCAGCTACATGTGGTTCTGGCTTCCTTCTTATTTTATGAGTTCCTCAGGCACACTCCATGTAGACAGACATTTTCCATTAAAGGTAGATAAAGGGGATAACGATATGCCACCCCAAGGTAGGCCACACTGACATTAGAATTATTACGAGCTGAGGCATTTGATTCCTGAGATCCCTTATGTGCCTAAAAGCAGAGCCTCCCCAAAAGACTCAAGTGTTATAAGTCCCCTCCCCGGGAGAAGGGGTGGGGGACAGGAAGCCAGAACCACACCCAGACAGACACTGCCACAAACTACCATATCATCTATTCTCCTAAGGGCCTATTTATCCTTCCAAAGAGTCATTTGCTTTCCCATGAGGGCCTTTTCTCCCCCCTCCCTCTCCCCTGCTAAGTTAGTATATAGACCCCTTGGAGTTGCTCATCCCTGAGTAGGTGTGTTAAGTGTGATGCACATGTTAGTAAACTTGTTTGATTTTTCTCTTGTTAATCAATCTTTTCTCAGGCTAATTTTACAGGGCCCCAGCAGAAAAACCTAGGAGGGTAGAGGGAAAAAAATGTTTTTTCTCCCCTACAGTTTTGGTGACAAAGGTGGGATTCTATCATCTATTACTCCTTGCTCGGTCCAGAAGCTGCTGTTAAGATATCCTGAGCTTCTTAACAAAAGCTGCAGGAGATAAAATTTCTTAACCAAAGTCAGCCTCTCAAATTTCTGCCTGCAGGGTCAGGTGGAACGAGGATGGTGAAAGTCTGCCTTTTCAATTTAATTTTCAGGCTCAGCCAGGGACCCTAAGAAGATGGAAGAAACGTTTTTCCGCCCCTACATAGGAAAACTAAAAATATGTCAAAGAACAACTGATTCCGAAGTCTCCATAAACTTAGTCTACCTTTCCCTCCCAAGGCTCTCATCCTCCTGCACTGAAGACACCCATCAGCTCTCACCAGCAGGGACTGAAACAAAAGCACAAGAATTCTGCCCTGACAGCTGACTTCACCACGCACGATGTTCCTGTGAGCCTGGAGCGGGCCTTATGTGAAATGAATCAACTTCAATCACGTGCAGGTGGGAAAAACTATAAAATAATGGCAAGAAAGTGCTCCTTACAGAAAAATACCTGATCGTAACCACGTTGAAAATTGACTGCAAAATGGAAACCTATCATAAAGAATTATTTAAGAAGTCACCAAGACACTATGATTGCCAGAGACCCTCCAATCAGAAAGTAAATGAATATATTATACAGACAGGCAACCAAAACTAGCAACAAAAAATTAGGCAAAGCAACCAGATCAGGTAAACTAGTTCCTTTCCCATAAATGTTCTCTAGATTTGCATCTGCAATTTCTGTTTATAAACAAAATCTTTGCTCAGCCTGGACACCCTCACTGGAAAAAAAAAAGTACACACACGCACACACACACACACGTGCACGCACACACACACACACACACACACACACACACACTCACACTCCTAAATCTGTAGAGTGAAGATAGAAAATATTCTTTCCCTGCAGATATCAAGTATCTTAAGGCTTTTTTGTCAGCAAATGACTAGGCTGAGAGCAATCCTGTTTTATTGTAATATGCATGACAAGCACACATGCTGGGGGAAGTGGCTGATTTAGGTCGGGGTTTCCTAGTCTTGGCGCTGTTGACATCTTGGGCTGGGTAGTGTTTTATTGTCGGGGGCTGTCCTGGGCACTGTAAGATGTTTAGCAGCCTCTCAGGCCTCCACCCACTAAATGTGCACTCCCCACCCACAGCCATGACAATCCAGTTTCTCCAGACTTTTTGTCCTGAGGGTCAAAATCAGCCCGGGGTTAAAAAACACTCTTTAAGGCTGAGGTAGATTGTGCCCTGTGGCAACGAGATTTCAGGAGCCCTGACAGTGCTGCAAGATTTTTCTAGTTGTAGCATTTATAGAAGCTGAGATTTCTAGTGTCGCCTACTTAAAGAAAGAAACAAAGCTGCCCAAGGGCTGAGAGGTCTCTGTTTGACCCTCATTGAACCCTCACTCTATTTGAACCCACTCACTGGAGGCACAAAAGTTGGGAAGTGCTGTCTGTGGGAATCACACCCCTGACTACACCTACCGCACCCTCCAGCTATGGCCTGTCCCCAGCCTCGTACCCAAGCATTATTTGCAGCCTCCAATTCAACTCTCATTCTCCTCAGTTCCCAAGTCTGGCAGTGATGCTCCAGCCAAATGACGGAATTCATGCGTGGCAACTATTTCCAGAACAAGCTAATGGGCTACTGAGTCAAATAGGTGCTGAGGTAGTGAACGTGAGGTCCTGCTACCCTGGTCCCTGGCAATAGCAGAGCCTGGAAAGCAGGACCTTTCTCTCAGAGGCCGCTGAGTTCTTCAACAGTGACCCTGGAGGACCACACTTAAAATGTCAGTAAATCCCACCTAACCAATCTAGTACCAGGGATGAAGAGACTCGACAGTCACTATAAACCACAGGTAATAATATCAACGTTCTGGCGGAAGAAACTCAGAGACAGAATCAGAACTCCTCCCATGAAGGGAAACTGAACAGTATAACAGAAGCAACAGAAACCAAGAGGAGGCAAAAGACCCACCCCCAATCCTCCTGATAAGATTTAAGGCCAAAATGTTTCATTTCCATTTTTTTAACTTTCGTTTTAAGTTTTAAATGTTTATCTTTAGTCAGAAAATCTCTGCACCAGATCTCTGAGGCACTGAGTCCCATGAGTAAAATCAAAAGTGGGCCCATCGTGTTATTTCTGGTCACGTGTTACTTTAGCAACACAGGAATAAGTATGAAAAGGCTACTGCTATAGAAACAGCATCTTAAAACAGAACTGGAAGGAAGAAGGGAAACTACACTGACAGGAGAGGGGTGTGGTTGGGCATGGTGCTTTGCCTACAAAAGAATGAAAAATGGGATGGAAAGGACTTTTAAAAGATATCTTTCTGTTGTGGTACGAATGTTTATGTCCCCCTTAAAATTCTTATGTTGAAATCCTAACACCTGAGATGATGGTATTAAGAGGTGGGGTCTTTGAGAGGTGATAAGGCCATTGAAGATAGAGCCCTTACGAATGGGATTAGTGCCCCTTATAAGAGAGACCCCAGAGAGCTCTCAGCCCCTTTCTTCCACTATGTGAGGACACGGTGAGAAAACAGCTGTCTCTGAACCAGGAGATGGGCCCTCACCAAATCTGCTGGCACCTTGATCTTGGACTTCCCAGGCTCCAGAACTGTGAGAAATAAAATTCTGTTGTTTAACCCACCCAGTTTACTTATAGCAACAGACTAAGACACTTACCTAATGAGGGAAGGTAAATAAGCTGCCAAAAAAAAAAAAGTTGAAAGTATGTGGAACAGGAGTTGCTTGCTTCAAAAATGAAGGCTTTTTTAAAAATAAGCAAAGTATGCAGGTGAGACGGAGGGAAAAGTCGTCTGCTTCTAACAGAAATACATCAAAGCAATTACCTAATTTACACAAGGTATCACTTAGGCTAATGCTCAGCTGCTTCCTGACGAGTGAGGAGTTGGCCAGAGTGCCTGCATTTTCCTTTATTTTTATCACTTGTTTATAATATTCAATTGCTTGCTTCCTTTGAATCTAGAAACGAGAAATCTAATTAAGGCTTTGCATCCAAGAAGCATGGCATTCATCCATTTATCCAACAAACATTCACGGAATGCTGGCACTGGGGCTGGGGTTCAGAAATGAGGAAGACTAACCCTTGCCCTCAGAGAATTCCCCGGGGTAGGAGAGACTGGAGGGTGAAACGGAGGACCAACCACCTGTGAAGGACACTGAGTGCAAACCTAGGGGTTTTGGACTTTAATATTGAAGAGTTTTCATTAAGACAGTGATGTGATCCAACTTGCGTTTTAGAAAATTCACCTGGGTGCAAGTGTGGAGGATAAACTGAAGCAGGTGAGGCTATGGGAGGGGAGACCAGTTGGTCCAGAGGAAGGATGATAAGGGTCTGAGCTAATGCAGTGGCCACAGATGTGACCGAAGACCTGCTAAGTCCTGGCGTCACATGGAATGTGGTGGTCCTGGTGCTGGGAGCGCTGGCATCTGCACGTGCAGTAGGATGATGAGGTTAGGAGCTTGAGCTCTGAGGTCAAGCGTGCCTGGTAGTGACGCGGTGGTTAGGCACCACGGCTCTGCAATCAGACTCCCCTGGTGCTAATCCTGGCCTTACCCTTTGAAAGCTGGTCAAGCATCCTACTCTCCTAAACCTCAGTTTTCTCGTGCTCAAAATGAGGATAACAGAGCTATTGTGAGGATTAAATGAGAAAATGTATGGAGTAGGTTTAGCATGGTGACTGATAATAAATACCACGAAAATGTGTCGTTAAAGATGGTGTCCAGGGGCTTCCCTGGTGGCGCAGTGGTTGGGAGTCCACCTGCCGATGCAGGGGACACGGGTTCGTGCCCCGGTCTGGGAGGATCCCGCATGCGGCGGAGCGGCTGGGCCCGTGAGCCATGGCCGCCGAGCCTGCGCGTCCGGAGCCTGCGCTCCACAGCGGGAGGGGCCGCAGCAGTGAGAGGCCCGCGTACCGCAAAAAAAAAAAAAAAAAAAAAAAAAAAGATGGTGTCTGTACTGGGTGAAATGGGAGAAGATGCATTTTGTCAGGGAGAGGGGTGGATGTTTTCAGGCTTGAGCATGTTGACTCTGAACTGCCCGAAGACTTTGGATACCCAAACGGAGACGCCCAATAGGCAGATGGATGCACACGTGTGCAGCTGATGGAGACGAGAAGCCATCGCCTTAGGGAATGCTGGCTGAAGCCCTGGGCACAGGCGAGGTCGCGGCACCGCGGCTGATACACGTAGAGTCCAAGAACTGAACCCAAGAGAGCACCACCATCTGGACGAGAGTCGGGAAGAGAAAGAGGAAACCCACGAAAGAAACCGAGAAGGCATCATCAGAGAAGATGGCCATGAGGGTGGGTAGCTCAGAAACCAGGAGAGCATATCTCAGGAGGGGAGTCATGGATGCTGTCAGAAACTCCAGCAGCAGACGACCAACAAGATCAAAGTGCAAAGAGACACAACGAGGATGTTCCTGATGATGTTTGTGGCAGTAGGCGAAACGGAGTTGGGTTGGGGGAGAGGCGAGTGACGTCAGCGGGAAGTGAGGCAGTTGAGACACTTGTCTGTGGAGGGGACACGGATGAAAGGACAGCTGCTGATGAATGGATACAAAGTCGAGAGAGAGAGAGCGATGACATTCACTGATTTCACTGAGAACATATCCCCGTTCCTCTTAAGCCAGTTTGCTTATTCTTCTCTGTCCTGGGGGGGAGGGGGCACGGGGAGGGGGAGGGGGGAGTTGGGGGAGGGTTACTTTTAATTTTGTAATTTGACCTCATGAATCCATCCCTACCTATCCCCAGTCTCCAAGGCCCCTTAGGACCCTCTGATCATTTCCCTAGTGCATGAGAGCTGTCTTGAGGGCCCCTGGCCACCAAGACAAAGGATCTCCACATGTTTGAGAGGTGAGTTGAGTGGCACAGCAAAAATCTCCCAGTCTTAACCAACGTGGAAGATGCGGTCACCTAAGGACAACCTTCAGTAAGGATAAAGGCTTCTCCGTCGTTTCGGAAGGCTGACCGTTGACAATAAGGTCTGGAAAGAAGACTGCCAAGTACAGTCAGCTCCTCTGACACAGAGGCCATGCACATTGAACGGCAGCAGTGTTAAGTGTCTGATGAGTCACGCGCTGCCAGCCCTGGATTCGTGGTGGGGCAGCCCAGGCCGCGGAGATGACTCAGTCAGCAAGCTATGTGTTTAGATTTCTCTTTCACGAGGCAATGGTTCTACTGTCAAGCTTTCTGCTTCTCTAAAGAAGGTCCTGTTCTCTGCTCACAGTGCTGACCTTAAGAGGAACAAAAGTAGGCTTACGTAGTGTCAAGTGCCTCAAAAATTCCCTGCTGGGGAGCAAACTAATAATACTAAGAACTCAATTTATCAATTCAGTGTGCCAGGCGTCCTTCCAAGCACTTTACATAGAAGATCTCTCAGTTCTCACCATCATCCTGCAAGGAAAACACTACCACCGCTCTCATTTTACCAATGAGGAAACAAATGAGACACCAACATGTTAAGTATGCGCCCAGGTTCTCACCGTTACCAAGTGGCAGAAACAAAATTTGAATCCAGGCAATAGGACCCCAGAGCCCAACATCTCAGTACTACTATAGAGCACTGGTAACTTTACCCTTAGAAACTCCTTTATTGGGGCTACTGTTTTCAAGGTAAATATTCTTCGAAAGGGTTAACACTGATCTGCAGTTCTGCATTAGAGATGAGTCACATCACATTCTTCTTGGGAGCAAAAGCCAGAAGAGGTCACCTCCCTGGTGAGAGGAAAATTCTCTCAAGGATGGTGGAAAGGGAAAGTGAAAGGCAGGACAGCCAACAGGGAGGGGAGAGGGAGGGGCTACAAAAACAAAACCTCACAACTTTACAATTTCACCTAGAGCATCCCTGGCCCTTCAGCCAGCTGAACTGGCTGTGCAAGGGTGCAGGCTGGGCCGAAGGAAGGGGGTGGTGGACTCTCTGTGGACTCACAAAGAACTTTCTCTCATACCAACCTGTCAAAGGAAGAAGTGGTCGAGCTTGGCAAATCCTAACACAGATTAGATCCGGACAGTAATATCTACAACCCTTCTTTGTTTGTTTGTTTGTTTGTTTTCTGTGGTATGCGGGCCTCTCACTGTTGTGGCCTCTCCCGTTGCGGAGCACAGGTCCGGACGCGCAGGCTCAGCGGCCATGGCTCACGGGCCCAGCCGCTCCACGGCATGTGGGATCTTCCCGGACCTGGGCACAAACCCGTGTCCCCTGCATCGGCAGGTGGACTCTCAACCACTGCGCCACCAGGGAAGCCCTACAACCCCTCTTTTAAACACAGACGCTGACAGTCTCTCCTGACCAAACTCTACTCAGGCTCTTCAGAGCAATTTTCAACTAGGCCCCAACCTTTGGACTTCGGTGTTCATCTCTGCATTGTCCAACCAGCAAGAATCCTGCTCAGTCAGTCTAGCCATCCTTGATGTCTGATCACTGTCCATATCTACTGAGATTCCTCACCAGCACCACCCCCAGGTGACGTCTGACCCCTGGCCTGCCTTCAGCAAGAATCCTGTTACGTCTGTTTAGCCAGAATCCACCCCCATCCGTACCCCTGATGTTTCCTCTTAGTAACTTCCCGTCTACTGACCCCGCATACCCCGCTGCTTTTCCATGTATTTGGAGGTGAGTCCAATCTGTCTCTGCCGCTGCAGAACCCCACTGCAGGGGTCCCTACACCTATCACAAAGGGCCAGAATAAAGTCTGTCTTAACAAGTCTTTCTTTAACAAGTGTCACAAATACTCTTCTCTTTAACAGCTTTAGCAATGCCTTGTAAGGAGAGCCGAGGAAAGCCCCACACGTGGCAAGAGAGCGAGAGGTCTTCCCCGGCGAGGAGGGGTGGCAGGAAAGTGGTGTCTGAGGCACTGCAGGCTCTGGCCTAGGTTTTGCAGAAGAGAGACCAGTGGGGTGTGGTACCGAAGACACAGTCCATAGAGGCCTGAAGTACAATACGTACATCTTCCTCACAAGGCCCGGGGTGATGCTGGGAGACACTCACGATGGCATTGTCCTCCTTTTTACTTTTCCTCCTGCCAAAACCTCTACACGGTTTGTGGGCTAGGAGCTCCTTTCAAATATATCATGGTCAGTGTCCTGACAAATAGATCGGGGCAGAACTCTCAGGCACGGTGAGTTTCTCTGCACAAGGCTGGAACCAAAGAAGTGAGATGCCCCGATGAGTGACCCCTGACCTCCCTGTCACTAGTGGGGTTTTTTGGGGGGACCGGGGGAGGGAAAAGGAGACACACTACTTGAAACATTTCATAAAAACTTACCTTTCACTATGTCTCAGTGGGAAAAACAGTAAATCCGCTAAAAATTCCATAATTTCTCCAACTATGATGTTTTTCTCACCAAACTTCTCCTGATATTTAAGCATTCTTGAAATTTCATTTTTGCAAGAGAAGCGTTTCCGGCAGCAGATCTGAAAATAAAATGCATGTGCGTGACTTACTGGGCACGATACATGTTGGCTACCTTCATTGTGCCACCAAAAATAATGCTCATAAACGTCCTTTATTCTATACAGGATGATACAAAACAGCAGAGCAGTTTATATTAGCAGAGACTTGAGACTTTGAAAGTGATCGATAAGATGTGTGTACATCTTTATAAGAAACTAGGGCACTACTCTCAACCTCAGCACTGTGGACATTTGGGGCCGGATAGTTTGTTGCGAAGGGTCCTGTATAATGTTTGCCATCTCCCCTGGCCTGTACCCACTAGTTGCCAATAACGACACCCCCAGTCATGACAAGCTAACGCGTCTCCAGACATTGCCAAAGGCCCCATAGGGCGCAAGCCTGCCCCCGGGTGAGAACCACTGAATCAGAGGATGGAAATGTTACAATTCAGCCTTTCTTAACCCAATCAATTAGTTGGGTAATGGATTGGCGAGTATGGGTTAAGTATATTAATCATAACCGTAACAGCTAGTACAGAAAATAAAACATTTTCAAGCAAAAACACACATTTACATCAGAACACCTTCAGTGTTATTTCATGGTGGCCTGGTCACAGGTGTTGTTGTCCAGTAAGCTGGACATTTCAGTAGCACATTGCAGAATATGATTTTCTTTTAAGTACTCCTTAGATGCTGACTTTGCCAGGTTGTTCAGCACTCTGCCTGCAGGGAATAAATTTTGGCAAAGAAGATGATGCTCAAGGCTTTTTTTCCACAGAAGAGTTAAGATGTCACTAGGCAGGGCATTTAATATCATTTCTTCCTTGCTGCCAACAGCTGGGTTTTTTCTTAATAAATCAACTACTGACCTACATTGCATGGGGTTGGTTTTTCTGTAACGAATTTGTGTGTGTGCAGAAGTTATAGGGCTGAGGAGCTGAGGCAATAGATTGAAACCAAATCCAAGTCTGTTTTGCAAATGAACAGGTCAGAAACAGAGTGAGAATATGGATGTAGTGAAACCAGCCATCACCATGGTAACCAAGTCCTAGAGAAGGCAAGCCAGTACAGCCTTGCAATAAGAAACAATAAAATGGTACAGCCTTACAACAAGAAACATGTGAATAAGCCCCATAAACCTAATTAATAAGTAATGGGCTGTACCTAGATACACACTGCCTTGGGAATGTACCCTTTGCAAAGGCCTAAATTTTGCTAGTTATTGAAAGTTAGATATTTTAACAATAATAGACTTCTAAAATGTAGACAGTTTTATGGTTTTCTAAGCCATACTTTGTTATGGAAAGAGATAAAAACCATAATTATATTTCAAGAAGGTGTTACTAGAGCATTGCTAGCAGTAAACAAAGCAGATTTAACTCCCTGTGTTAAGGAATTTGGTATTAATTATAAAGGATTACCATTAAATTATCAAAAAGCATCTTTCCCATCATCAATAGCACCCCATTCATTGCCCAGTGCCCACTCCAGGGCCTCAGGCCTTGCATCTGCACACCAGGGAGGGACAGCCATGTACCTGGTCTCCCTATGTCCATTCTCCATACAGCAGCAAACGTGACCTCAAAACAGAAATCAGGCGATGTCATCCCCAGCCTAACTCCTGCAAGGCTTTCCCTCGCACTGATAATAAAATCCAAATGTTTCCTGGGGCCCGAGGCCCTGAAGGATGTGATGCCTCCTGTCCTTTGTTCACAAAGGCTTCTTTTTTTTTTTTTTTAATTTTCTTATTTAAGTATAGCTGATTTACAATGTTGTGTTAGTTTCTGGTGTACAGCAAAGTGATTCAATTATATACATACATACATATATATATATATATATATATATATATATATACACATGTGTGTACTTTTTCAGATTCCTTATATATATATATATATATATATATATATATATACACATGTGTGTACTTTTTCAGATTCCTTTCCATTATATGTTGTTACAAGACAGTGAATATAGTTCCTTGTGCCACACACACAGCAAGTCACAAAGGCCTCTTTTCATTGCTAGGACAAGCCGAGCCCTCTCCCACCTCAGGGCTCTGCACACAATGTTCCCTCTGCCACGAATGCCCCCATACCCACCACATGTGACTCCTGCAGTCTGTCACGTCTCAGCTTCAATGTCCCCTCCTAGAGATGCCGCTTGACCACCCTTTCACAGGTGGTCCCTCCCCCTGCTTATGCTCTACCTCCATCTGTTGTTTGTGTCTCTCACTGCATTTAGTACAGCCTGTAATTACTGCATGTGTCCGCTCCCTTGTGTGTCATGTGTCACCTCCTTTCGGAGGCAGCACTGGTGACTCTGTCCTGTTCGAGCTGCTGGACTCAACACAGTGTCTGGTGCATGACAGGTGCTCAGTAGAGTTTTTGAATGTGTGAGCCCTGGTCAGGCTGGAATCCCCACCTGACCCTCGTCAAGAGACCGGAAGTACAGTGCACTCCCATCAAAGCTGCTGCTAGGGCTTCCCTGGTGGCGCAGTGGTTGAGAGTCCGCCTGCCAATGCAGGGGACACGGGTTCGTGCCCCGGTCCGGGAGGATCCCACATGCCGCGGAGCGGCTGGGCCCGTGAGCCATGGCCGCTGAGCCTGCATGTCCGGAGCCTGTGCTCCGCAGCGGGAGGGGCCACAGCAGTGAGAGGCCCGCGTACAGCTGAAAAAAAAAAAAAAGAAAAAAAGCTGCTGCTAATGACACTGATTCTACCTGTGAGCATCCCTGTTCACCAGGAGCCGGCCCCACCTGCTGTTTTCACCCCCTTGGAGAACCACACTTGTCTATGCCAGGCCAAAGTCTGCCGAAATCCTTGGAACTCTGTGCTTTGGACGGCCCAGCTGGCTCTAGAAGGCCAGTCCTAGAACCCACAGAAGTGTCCCTGGTTCCCACACTGGTTTCCTCTGCTCACCAAGGTCCCAGCATGTCCATGACCAGCCCTGCCTACATTAGGATGACTTAGAAGCTAGCCTCTATGTATGGAGGATTAGAGCTTTATAAATGCCAATGCTAGAAGAGATGCCACATAGCAAGGAGTAATGCGGACAGGCTTTAGGGTCAGATAGGACTAGCTTGGACCCCCAGCTCCAGAGGTGCTAGCTGTGGGAGCTGACGTAGTTGATTTCATCTCTCTGACCTTCAGTTTCTTCATCTGTAAAGTGGGGTAACAATACATAACATGTGAGGTATATTTGAAGGTAAAAGAGCTTGTGAGCATGAAGTGCCTTGTACATTGTAAGCATGAAATGAATGATAACTGTTACTATAAAAGTGGATTTACGGGTGAAATGCAGAGGGTAAGTAGCTTGCCCAAGGTGACCTTTGATCTTACAGTAGCCTGTAAAAACAGCTGTGATTCTCCATGCCAACCTGTACCCAACTCCCCTTTGCAATGCCACTCTGCACCAGAGTCTCTTTCTCTGCCATGGAATAAAGCCTGATGACTTGCTGTGACCAATCAAATACAGCAGAGGGGGTGTCATGCCAGTTCTGAGCCTAGGCGTAAACCTGTGCTCTCCCCCTCGGAATTGTGCAAGCCACTAGGTGAGCAGGCCTGGGCTGTCTTCCCGAAGGATGAGGGGCACGTGACCCGAACCCTGTCACCCAGCCAGACAACCACCAGACATCTGAGTGAAGTCCTCTGAGACCAGCCAGCCCCGCTGGCCCTGCCAGCTGATCACAGATGTTTGCATGAGCCTAGCCCAGATCTGCTGAGCCTACTCTGGACCAGGGGGATCCCCTTGGTGGCCCATAGGCGTGGGCAGTAATAAGTGGCTGTTGCTTTTATTTTATTTTCTTCTTATTATTTTTTTGCATGTGATTGAGTATTTATTCTAAACCAGGTATTCTACATCCATTTTTTTTTTTGCTCCTTGCAACAATAATATGAGGTGAAAACCATTAGCATTTTAGAGTTAAGGAAACAAACCGAGGTACAGGGAGTGTCATTATGTTGCCATGGGTCATGACCATGCAACTAGTAAGTGGTAGAGACCCAGGTCTCTCTGTCCTAAAGACTGAGCTCTACAGACCCATGAGTTAACCTGTCATAGAAAAGTTCCTTCATATTCATATTCATCTGTATAATGCAGCCATTGGACTAGATGATCTTTTGCTTATAGTTCAAAAAGAGGAGGATTGTAGCTCAGAAAGAGTACGATTCTTTGTTGGCTGTTGGTTTTAAACTGTTGAGTTTTGGGGTGCTTTCTTATACAACATAATTGACACAGCCATTTAAATATGACATAATTCTAGACATTATGTTTAGTCTGACTGTAAATCAGTGAGTAAAAATGCTTAGTATCTGCATTCACCGAATGTTCTTTGTTCCATTAGTGGTGCCATAGCAGCGTCGGGCATCAAATACTGGAGAATAAAAAAACGAGCTACCATGAATGAGTACTTAACTATTTGTCAGGCACCATTCTGTGTGCTTTACGGTCTCCCTTGAACTCTTTTAGTCTCACAACGACCATGCAATGTAGGTGCTATTTTTATTCCTATATTTTTACAAATATGACAACTGTGACCCAGAAAGGCTAAGTCTTGTGTCTAAAAGCAAAGAGCCAAAAAAAATAGAAATTAAATTAAAATTAAAATAATTAATACATAAGTAAATAAATTTTTTAAATAAATAAAAAGCAAAGAACCAGTAAGTGGAGAGGTGGGATTTGAACCCAGAAAGGCTGGCTTCACAGTTAAGCTCTGAGTGGCCCTCTTACTAATCAAAGCAGTGTGAGGTACATCACAACAGCCTTCAACATTCTAAAAGGGTGGTCTGTCACAGGAGGAGCACTCATGCTCAACCCTCACATGCCCAGCAGCCCAACAAAAAATCAAGCAAGCAAAGCACACACACCCATTCCCCTTTCTTCACAGGTGGGAAGAGCCCAGGAGTCTGACTCTGAACCACAAGAGTTTATGCCCTTTGCACGTGCCCACCCTACCTTTTTGCTTCACTAAGTCCTGGTTGTCTTTTAAGTTGCTGGATGAAAATTCCATCAAGTTGGACCACGCTTCCTGGAAATACCAGAAACCTTCCCTCCTGGGTCATCCCTATTTCCAGATAGAGTTCCCCAATAGCATTCTGTACTTTGGGAAGCATTCCTGTCATGGACCAACTCTACACAAAATGAAAGAGAACACACTCCTGAGGGGACACAGCGTTAGACTAGGCACAGCCGCCAGACACCCACCCAAGAAAGGCTCATTTCATAATGAACTTGCAAAAGATCGCATGCTTTACAGCATTTCTTGGGGAATTCTAAATACTTATGAGAGTTATAGCGAAACATTTATGGGGAGACACTGCAAACCAAAAATAAAATTTGGAAAATGTTTTCACAGGTTATTAGTTAATGGTAATGAAAAATTTTGAAGGTAAGAATAACGTGATGATGTCTTGCAGCTGTTAAAGCTCCCAGAGGAGGTATTATTTAAAATCCTAACGAACACCTAAAAACACTGTCTATGTGGACCTTGAATTCAAGTGTGACCAGAGATCTGCTAACTTTAAGTTCGATATACTTTTGCTTAGAATATCAATTCCCTTTCCTGGTTTAGCATGTTTATTTCAGGGGTACTTAAACTTCATTACCTTAAATCACTCCTCTATCAAAACCTTATCAATGCATAAGAATACACTAGTTGGTTATAATCTTTTAAATGAGAGTTAGTTATTTAAATGAGTTATTATTAATATTTCAGAAAACAATATTAACAAGACTATATGTGAATATGTTTGGTAACCAATAAAGCCCTATTCAAATGGTCAGTATTACCACCATCACTGGCTATGGAATACTTTATGCTGTACCGAAATATTAGCCCGGGACAGGACTGACTGAGCCTGGCTCCCTGGCGGGAATTCTTTCTGCTCTCCTGCACCTACTGAAAGTGACCGTCTATGGCTTGACCCAGAGCTTTCCAATAAGTGTCTTGCAAACAGGTTACACCTACTCTGAGATACTGATCTCAGCCCTGGAGGCAGCTGGTTGTGGTGTGGAATCCCTGGACCCATAGCCTTTTACACTCCCTCACGGGTATCTTTCAAAGTGCCCCTTTCTCCGCAGCTATCCTAGGTCTCAGCCCTAGTGCTCACACTTCCCATGCTCCACTTCAAGATGGCCTGCATGCTGACTTCACTGAGGTCAAACCTACTCTGAAAGATTGCCCTCGGATATTGGTTAGGATCACGATTGGCTGCAATTAACAGAAAACCCAAACTAACAGTGGCTTGATTTCTCTCTCATGCAAAAGTCAGAAAGTGGATGACCCAGGGCTATAGACACACCACAATGTCAGAGACACGGTTCCTCTTATCTCACTGTTTGACCTTGCCTGACCTCCATTCCCAAGGACACCTCTTGGTCTAAAATGGCTGTTGCATCACCAGCCATCACAGCCACAATCCAAACAGCAGGAAGGAGGAAAGAGGAGAGGGAGGGCACACCCTTCACTTCATGGAAACTTCTCAGAAGTTATCCATAGCACCTCCATTTACATCCCATCAGCCAAAACTTAGGATGTGCTCATATCTAGCCTCAAGGGAAGCTGGGAAATGTAGTCTTCTTTCCAAACAGTCCAGGAGGTGGGTGGGGACATTACTTACTACAAAAGGGAGACTAGATATTGGGAAATTATAGTCTCTGGTATACCTCACTTACGCTTTTCTTTTAAATTTCAAATTAGCAGTGTTTTCACCTATTTTCTTCCCTCTTGCCTATGCCAGAGGAAGGGATGCCTAACCTCCTTACCAAGGACCTGCCCCTTCCCAAGCTCTCAAAGTCCTGTGTTCCTCACAGAGTCCCCACCAGCATCTCCAATCCACCTCTCTCCCTGGCTCGTTTCCTGCTCCACACAAACTCATAAATCCTGGATGAAACCTAACTTGAACCTGGTACTATCTTGACTTTTCATCTTTCTCCTTTTACTGACACACTTCTCAAACAGGTATTAACACATGTGTTCCCCATTTCATCATCACACACTCACCTCTTAAAGCCCGGCAGTTTGGCTCCTGACACATATACCCCCTTCCATCTCAGGGGTTACCACTGACCTTTGCTCACCAGACCCAGGGACCTTCTTTCAGTCCTCACTTGCCCAGGCCTCTAAGGAGCAGTTGATGCTGTTAGCCACTCCCTCTTTGATTTGGGGAAACTAGGATATCCTTATTCTCTTCCAATCTCTTACTCCTGTACAGGTTTTTTCCCTTTCCTCCTTTTAAGGATAAGTAATTTTCCAATGACCAATTCCTACTGTCATTCAGAGATCTTGTTTCCTCATGGTTTTAGCATTCACTTGTATGTAGGTGTCTCTCCAGTCTCTTTCCAGACGTCTAATCCTATGTTTCCCCAGCTGGCTGGATACTCCCCTTGGGTATTTTTCCTGAACTGCAAACTCAGCAGTTTAAATGTTAAAAATTCATCCTCTCCAAATCCAGGTTCCTCTTTGAATTTCTGCACGTCCATCATCAGACTCAAATCCTCAGGGTTTCCTTGATTTCTCCCCATGTCAGGGCCACGTTTCCAATCAGTCTGAGTCAGGCAGAATCCCCTGTCACAGGGAGGATGACAGCTCCCAATCTACCACCAGCCCACAGTGGTCCTTTGACCCTTGAGTCTCACCACCCACATTGCCAAGAATACTAATCGGCATGTCAAATGCAGCCATATAGTGTCAGTATCCTCTTTATGAAGACATGACTTTTATTCCCCTCTTACTCCAGGCCATCTGCTTCTTGAGGGCAGAGACCCCACGATCCAAGAATTGAGTTCTGTGCTTCACGGCTATTCAGTAAACATTTGTTGATATGCCCAGTGATTGTGAAGCATTTTTAGGTCATGGTCTGTACTGGCCACCACCTATGGAGCCCTGACCGAGCAAAGCTCTTAAACTGCATAACCTCAGTGGATATTTGCAGAAACCCTAGGAAATAGGGATTATTACTCCTCTATTACAAGCAGGGAAACTGAGGCTCAGTGAGGTTAAATCAATCCCCCAAGCTCACGTGGCTAGCCAGTAGGAGAACAAGGGTGTCCAACCCAGACTGGCCTATCTCCAAAGCTCTGCTCTGCACATGTTCTTAACAAGTGAGCCTCTGACGCATAAACGGAGGCCCCTTCACAAAAGTATCCTTTGGTTTTCCTGCAGCCTGATGCACCTATTGTGAAATACTAGGGAGAGAGTCATGAGACTTACTTTTTTAACAAGCACACTTGCTGCTATAAGTCAGGCTTCCCCAGCCTCAGCACTATTGACTTCTGTGCCATCTAATACTTTGACATGGGGGGCGGCAGTGCTGGCCTGTGTAGTGTAGGATGTTTAGAGCATCCCTGGCCTCTACCCACTAGATGCCGTTAGCAAGCTCCCCGCCAAGCTGTGACAACCAAAAGGTCCCCGTACCGCAAAAAAAAAAAGCATAAAAAGGTCTCCAACATCGCCAGATGGTCCCTGACAAACAAAATTGCCTCCCAGTTGAAAACCTCTGCACCAAAACTTTAAAATAACCTAATCTGAAGAAATTGCAAAAGTGGTTTGGCACGGAATGTATGTAGCACAAATAATAAGCTCTTTCCCCTCAAGAATGTTCAGTGCATATTTCAAAGAAGTGGTTATTGCCCAAAATCGTTTTAGAACTTCTCTTTGGGAAGGGCCCTCAGAGCCTAAAAAAATTACTCTGATAGTCTCCATGATGGCTAATCCCAAAGAACTGTTACAAAAATATTTTGAGAAGACAATCATAAGACTGATGCCTCTGGAAGGAGTGCTTTGAAGTGGGACATCCTCTCTTGAAGGTCTCAGCTTTGTCATGCTTCCCGTGCAGCCACCTTCTCCCTTCACCCACCTACTCCACAGGTTACACTTCATCACAGTTGGAGATGCTGGCAGTGACTGGGATCTCCATGAGGGCAGAAACTGTGCCCACCTTGCCGACTGCTATCATCCCAACTCCCAGCACAGAGCTCAGGCTGGGCAAGGCCCTCAGGGAATGTTAGCCAAGTGGAGGACTGAGAGAATGAATGAGTGAGTGACTCAGTAAGTGAACGAGTGAACGGTTGAGTGAATGGCTGAGTGAATAGATGACCGAATGAGTAAGTTAATGATGAATGAGTGAATGAGTCAGTGAATGAGTGAATGGATGAGGAAATGACTAAGTGAATGAGGGAATGGATGAATGAATGAATGGATGGATGGATGAATGAGTGGTCGACTGAGCAAATGGCTGAAATCAGGCACTCAGTGATGACCTAATAAAATAATTGGTGCTTTCCAGAAAGACACATGTCAGTGATGAAAATCTGGACCTCGTGGGGAAAAAAGTATTTGGTGCAGGGGAAATTCTTATCAAAATAAGATATCAGAGAATCACTGGACTCCACTCTCTGAAAATGCAAGAGTGGTCAAAATAGCTTAAATCAAACTCTTCTTATCTCTCACCTAGGCCTCAGTCACATTTTAACCCACGGACGGTAATAACAAAACAGCTTAAGATCTCACTATGTGCCACGCATTGTTTGAAGTGCTTTGTGCTACCACTCACTTCACCCTGATAACAGCCCCATGAGGCAGATCTTAGAACCCTCAACGATGAGAACTCTGAGTCAGAGGTTCAAATTTTTGCCAAAGTCGCACAGCAGGAAGTGCCAAAGCACTTTAAATCTGGGTCAGTCTGTAAATAGCCCAGGCTGATGCACTACTCCACACTACCTTCTAAGGACACAAAGTACTGGGAAATTCAAATTGATTCATTGATTCAGTTGTCACATTTACTAAGCACCCAGAGGTTGTAAGACACCATGGTACATACAAAAATTGGTAAACAAGCATGGCCTCTGCAATAAAGGGATTGCAGATCTTGAGTCTTATAAATCTCTTTAGATAGAGTTCCTTCTAGAAAGATGTATGTTGATGGAGCAGAGACAGAGCTTTATGAACATTTGAAGGCCTTTGTTTTAAAACAAAAATAGCTTTGTCTTGGGTTACACTACCCGTGGCCCATAAAATACTACAATCGGTAAACATTTATAATTTTTTAAAGGACAGTTAAATGTCATCCTAAGAATAGTTACAGTTATATGTCATGAGTGAAAGTTTCATTGTATTCAACAAGCCCAAAAGTTTCTATTTCAGGAAAAGTAAATCAATAGAGGGACAAGATAATCAATCAACCTTCCCCAACATCTTTATGAAAATTATAACCACCTAGAGGGGTGGGATAGGGAGGGTGGGAGGGAGGCTCAAGAGGGAGGGGATATGAGGATATATGTATGCATATAGCTGATTCACTTTGTTGTACAACAGAAACTAACACAGCATTGTGAAGCAATTATACTCTAATAAAGATGTAGAAAAAAAGAAAATTATAACCAACTCTTTAAACATTATTTTATTAGTTTATTTCAACCCACTATTCTCGTTCCCATTTTGTTTTATGAACATTCCTTTTTTCCCTCCAAAATGACACCTATTGGTATTCATTCATTCAATCGTGATTCCCATCTATTTACTGGTTGTTGTCACTAATATACAGTTTGGGACACAGATTAAAATCAAAGCTTCCTCACTGAAGAACATAAGTAATAATTATTTATTATTCATTATTCATTAGTTCCTCTATTTGTGGACTAAATTATAAACAAACAAAGGTAAATGATACCTGAAAATACCTTACACAAGTTGAATAATGTTTGAAGGATTTAAAAAACTATTTCCCAATTTACCTGCACTAACATGTTCTCAACACTCAAGAATAACTCTTCTGCTTCATTGGTCTTGCCCAGAAGCTTCAGAAATCTCGCAATAAAGGACACTAATCGGCATCTGTCAGTGGCAGTAACCTCAAAAAGTCTGCGTTCCAGCACTAGAATGGAAAGAAAAGTAAATAATCCTAAAGCATATTTGGAAAGGAACAAAGAGTGCTTACCACTTAATCTTGATACAAGTTAAATATTAAATACATTTTCTATATTTCACTGTTTCTCTCTCAAAGCATCAGCACTTTGCTTTTATTAAGGTTTACATATATTACCAAGTATTTAAACTACCACGTGAAAAATAAGTCAAGGCCTTTAACTAATCCTCATATGTAAATTTTGAAAACCAGAGAGTCGAAAAAGAGTATTTCTCTAGCTCAATCCATATATTGTTGTCATTTGTATTTGGGAGTGATTTTCAGGCAAGAAATAAAAGGCGTTTAAATTTCTTATACAATTCTGCCCTCCGTTGCAACTGTCTTGAATTACTAGCTTTAGCAAAAAGAACAAAATGTTAAAAGAACAAAATAGGGAGCATACCTGTGTGTGTGTGTGTGTGTGTGTGTGTGTGTGTGTGTGTGTGTGTGCAGTTATACCTTATCATATACAAATGAAAATATACAGAATTTTTGAACTTGAAGACTCAATTAAATACATGGTACCACAAAGTCATCATTTTCAGAATTTCTCTTTCCAAACATTCCAGTATCTAAACTTCTACATTTGTCCATTTGTTACACTTCAAACTGTTGTGCCTAATGTATATGACACAAATATATTCTTATTCCTCATCTGTTCCTTTGGACAAACTGTAGGCAACCCAGACCTTGGCTACCCTCTTGCTTTCTTTCTGCCAACCTTTCTGTGGATTCCCATTCATACACGGAATAAATATTCAGTGAACACCAATGTGTCAGGCAGCATTCCAGGCTCTGAACACCAAGCACAACAGACGAGGGTGCAGCCCTCAGCATCAGGGAGGCCGCCAGGAGCCTCTGAACCATAGCTATGGTGCCTTGGGTTGGGGAACAAAAACTAAACAGAGCCAGGGGAGAGAGAGCGCTGAGGGCCAGAGTCCAAGACATTTGTCTGCAGTGGCTGTCTGAGCAAAGGGGCCTGAGGTGGGTAAAAGAACTGAAGGGTGGAGCTAAGTGATGCGGGACCCTAAGAACCAGAAGTGGCTGTTCAGAACAGGCAGAAAAGGGCAATGTGGACACAAAGCTAAGTGACAGGATCCTGTCTAGAAGTGGGACTTTCGCACATTCCAAGAGGGTTACTAAGTCCAGACTCCTGTCAAGAGCTCAGGTTGGGATGGATGGTGTTCATCACTAAGGGGCCATTCAGCACCCACACCATGCCTGGTGTTGCTCCAGGCACTCGGGGTACGGCAGTGAACACGAGAGGTAGAGCCCTGCTTTCAAGGAGCTTATACTCCAGCAGCTGGGAGGGTCAGAGGCAGGGGAGAGGGGAGAAGATATAGACAATTTTAAAAAGAAACAAGACAAAGTCTGGTAGCAGTAAAAGTTATGCAAAGAATTAAAACACGTTAACATAACAGAGAATGACTAAGTACAACGTTAGCTTGGGAGGCCACCCTGAGAGGGTGACACTGCAGCGAGATCTAAATAACCAGAAAGAACCAGCACTACAATGAGTGGGAAGAACATTCCTGGCAGAGGGAACAGCTGGTGCCAAGGCCCAAAGGCAGAATGTACTTGAAGGACAGAAAGAAAGCCAGGGTCTTACAAAATGATGCTACCCAGCCATGGAGGGGCCAGACTGTATAGGGCATTTTAGGCTAAACTGAGGAGTTTATATTTTAGTATAAGTGCAACAGCAGACTAGTGGAGTTGTCTTAATCTGCGAAGTGACATGATCTGGTTTACATTCTTAAAAACTCATCTTGGCTACTATGCAGACAATGGACTTTGTAGGAACAAAAATGAAAGTAGGAAGACCAGTTCAGAGGCTGTTATAACAGGCCAAGGGAGAGGGGATGGTGGCTAGGGCTCACTAGAGGGATGCTAGTGAAAAGCCGAGGTTAGTATGACACCTCTAACCTCTCCTCTTCAACATCATCCTGGGAGTCCTAGCTAGTGCAATAAGACAGGAAAAGGAAATAAAAGATATATATATATGGAAGGAAGAAATAAAACAGTCTTTCTTCACAAATGACATGATAGTCTATGTAGAAAATCCAAAAAAATAAACAAAATACCTCCTGGAAATAATAAGCATTTATAGCAAGGTTACAGGATACAAGATTAACATTCAAAAGCCAATTGTGGGACTTCCCTGGTGGTCCAGTGGTAAAGAATCCGCCTTCCAATGAAGGGGACGTGGGTTCAATCCCTGGTCGGGGAAATAAGATCCCACATGCCGTGGGGCAACTAAGCCTGTGCACCATAACTACTGAGCCCATACGCCTGAACTAGAGAGCCCGCATGCCACAACTACAGATCCCACATGATCTGGATCCCGGGCGCCGCAACTAAAGAGAAGCCCACATGCCACAACTAGAGAGAACACATGCACTGCAAGGAAAGATCCCACATGCTGCAACTAAGACCCAACGCAGCCAAAAAAAAAAAAAAAAAAAAAGGCCAATTGCTCTCCTATGTACCAGCAATGAACAACTGGAATTAGAGATTTAAAACATATTACTATTTATAATAGAACACCAAAAATGAAGTACTTAGGTATAAATCTAACAAAATATGTATATGATCTATATGCATAACACTACCAAAGTCTGATGAAAGATATCAGAGAAGATAAATAAACAGACATACCATGTTGATGGATTGGAATGCTCAGCACTGTTAAGATACTTGACCTATAGATTAAATGCAATCCCAATAAAAAATCTTCTATAGATGTCCAACCAACCTTTGACAAAGCAGCAAAGACAATTCAATGGAGATTGCCTAATTAACAAATGGTGCTGGAATAATTGGACATCCATGTGTAAAAAAAATTAATCTAGAAACAGACATTACACTTTCACCAAAAAATTACTCAAAATTGATAATAGACCTAAATATAAAATGAAATACTATAAAACTTTTAGAAGGAAATGCAGAAGAAAAGATATGTGCCCTTGGATTTGGTGATGAGTTACAATACCAAAAGCACAATTCATGAAAAAATATTAAGTTAGACTTTATTAAAATTTAAAATTTCTGCTCTGTGAAAGCCACTATTAAGAGAACGAAAAGACAAGCACAAATTGGGAGAAAATATTTGTAAAATATATATCTGATAAAGGATTTCTATCCAAAATACACAAAGAACTCTTAAAACTCAACAATAAGATATGTAAAGATGCTCAACATTATTTGCCATTAGGGAATTGCAAATTAAAACAATAGGATATCACCACACACCTATTAGAATGGATAAAATCAAAAAAGTTGACAATACCAAATGCCAGCAAGGATATAGAACAACAGAAACTCTCATTCACTGCTCATGGGAATGCAAAATGGTACAGTCCCTTCAGAAGACGATTTGGCAGTTTCTTATAAAGCTAAACATAGTCTTACCATACAATCCAGCAATCATGTTCCTAGGTATTTACTCAACTGATTAATAAACTTTGCACGCAAATGTTTATAGCAAACGTTTGTCCTTCAATAGGTGAATAGGTAAACGGTGGTACATTCGTACCCTGGAATATTATTCAGCATTAAAAAGAAATGAGGGGCTTCCCTGGTGGCGCAGTGATTGAGAGTCCACCTGCCGATGCAGGGGACACAGGTTCATGCCCCGGACTGGGAAGATCCCACATGCCGCGGAGCAGCTGGGCCCGTGGGCCCGTGGGCCATGGCCGCTGAGCCTGCGCATCCGGAGCCTGTGCTCCGCAACGCGAGAGGCCACAACAGTGAGAGGCCCGCATACCGCAAAAAAAAAAAAAAGAAAGAAATGAGGTGTTGGGATTTCCCTGGTGGCGCAATGGTTGAGAATCCGCCTGCCAATGCAGGGGACACGGGTTTGATCCCTGGTCTGGGAAGATCCCACATGCCGCAGGGCCACTAAGCCTGTGCTCCACAACTACTGAGCCTGCGCTCTACAGCCCGCAAGCCACAACTACTGAGCCCATGTGCCACAAATACTGAGCCTGTGGTCTAGAGCCCGTGAACCACAGCTACTGAGCCTGCATGCCACAACTCCTGAAGCCCGCATGCCTAGAGCCCGTGCTCCACAACAAGCGAAGCCACCGCAATGAGACGCCTGTGCACTGCAACAAATAGTCCCCACTCGCCACAACTAGAGAAAAAGCCCGCGTGCAGCAACAAAGACCCAACGCAGCCATAAGTAAGTAAGTAAATAAATAAATAAATATATTTCTACTACTAAAAACAGAAAGAAAGAAAGAAATGAGGTGTCAAGCCATGAAAAGACATGGAGGAATCTTAAATGCATATTCTTTACGGGCCTCTCACCGTTGTGGCCTCTCCCGCTGCGGAACAGAGGCTCCAGATGCGCAGGCTCGGCGGCCATGGCTCACGGGCCCAGCCACTCCGCGGCATGCATGTGGGATCCTCCCGGACCGGGGCACGAACCCATGTCCCCTGCATCGGCAGGCGGACTCTCAACCACTGTGCCACCAGGGAAGCCCTTAAATGCATATTCTAATCACAATTGTGTATAACATCCCTGACAGCTTAGAGAAGGGCAGTGATGGTGGAGGTGGACACGTTTGAGAAACATTTACGAAGTAAAAACTGCCAGGACTCAGTGATGAAACGTATTTGGGGAGGGGATAAAGGAGAGAAAAGTGTCAAGGATTACTCCAAGGTGGTAAATTGAGAGACAGTCCGTGGAACAGACCCTGTTTTGGAGGGATGTTCATGAGTTCAGTTTTAGATGTGTTGGGTTTGAGGAGCTTTGAAGACATCACTCAAGTGGAAAGTAGGTCGTTGGGTATGTGAATCTGGGGCTCAGATGATAAGCATGGCTGGGGAAGTAAATGTGTGAGTCACATACACATGAACAGTCACTAAAGCCATAGACACAAGTAATATTCCTACAATGGAATTAATGAATGAGAGAAGAGCCTTAAGGAATTCTAACACTTAGAAGCCAGGTAGAAGAGAAGGAACTA